AATGGATTGAAAATTACAGCACTATATAATGGTATTTTGAATTAACTAAGAGACAGTCTTGATAAAGTAATAGGGGGTCTGTCACATCAATGATTGTAAATAATTCTCGCTTGGTTAACGCTGAACAAAAGGAAACATGAATGGCATTACGAAAAGAAAATACCGACACAGTTCAAATTTACCTCATCACCATGATTGAAATAATGTCTTTTCAAAGGATTCAAAGGATTTCTAGTTGCATGATGACAATTTGTGATTTCCTTCTTATCGTAACTGAATTTAAAACTCTGTATTAGGAGGTACTCCCTTTAACTCAGCTAGGGATTCCGGTTTGCCAGCTTGCAGACTATACCATAGATATTAGATGGACAACAGTTTTTGGTAAAACTCTTACTTGACATTTATCAAGATAAATTACCTTCACATGTTTTTCTGCAGATTTGAAAATAAACTTGGCAAAATCAAATGCATATTGCAAATCCATATTTGTTCTATTAGAAATTTGACTTATTTTGACCGTAGACACTCTGTCATTTTTGTAAATAACACTAATAATAAAGCAAATACTGTATTCTGGATTTAAATTTAGACCAAAAAAAATATTTTGCAGGTAATTTTTGGGAAAATAGATAATGGTAATTATGACCACTGAGAAAAGAGAAATTATGCACCAAATTCTAAATATTTTAACTAGAACAAAATGCAGATAAAAAGTCGAAAAACTTGTGATTGTTTTCGTGATGAAACTGAAACCTTGTAATCCTCTTTTATCATTATTTTGAATTTAAAAATGGCAGCCATTTTGAATTCAAAAATCGTTGAAACCCAAATTTCTGAATTGCCTCCCTCCAAACTTGAGTTAAAAATGTCTATAATGTCCATTATAGAAATATGAGGGATTACAAGTAAGTTTTTACCTAATCTATCCTCTAACCTTTTTTTAAATAAAATAACATGTTAAATTTTGTAGAAATATGCATGAATAACAGTGTGTTGAAACTATGGATCTATCAGATCAATGCTCAACTAACATGATGTAACTCAAACTCATTTTGTTGGTTGCAATGGCAATAGAGAGAAAGGAAATGTTAGAATTTACACCCACTGTAGGAGATGAAATCCACATTAATTTAATTATGCATGCAAACGAGCAGTTAATTGTATCATAACATTAGTTTCCCTGAGGCAAAATAACCATAAATGATAATTAAGTAAAAACTGGTGTTTAAATTCATAGCCTTATATGGTAATATGCAAATAATTTCAGATGATTTAAATCACCCCAGTGTGTCAGATGTCTGGAGGCCATGTTTATTGCTATTGATTTATGTTCTGTGAAATTGTAATCTTTATACATCAGGAAACAATAAAAGTAAAACAATTTCAAAATAGTAGAAATTTCAATGGAATAGAAAACTTTTTTTTAAATGAAACAAAGTGAGATGATTTGTATATTTATGATACAGAAATTTAAATATACAGTAGAGGGTTGAACCCTGTATCATAATGTTTTGTTGTTGCTCAACGTCAAGTTCCAAATAGGTGTGTAACAAACAGTTTAATCATTAATGCTAGAAATTTCTGCTCTTTCATTTTATTGCATTCATTCTCTAAAAGTGTCCCAGGACAAGAGGGAAATTTTCACTGCTACAAAAATTGCAAAACTAGAGCAGTACATTGCTTCTGTACATGAATTTCATACGCTTCTTTCAATTTAGGTATTGTTTGGGGACAGTTAGTTTCAGAATTCACTGTAATAAGGCAATAATATCACCTTAACATTCAGAAACCACTGTAATAAGGCAATATCATCACCTTAACATGGCAGCTATCAGTTCCAATGTGACTTCAAACATCCACCAGTAAGAATGAGTAAGAATGCTGATAAGCGACAATGTCTATTTCTCTTTTTTGATTTCTATCATTTCACTTCATTTCATAACCATATAAAAAAAAACACATAATTATAACAAAAATCAACAAGTTGACTATGACCTTCTACGAAAAAATGAAAGTGTAATTATAAGACATAATTACTTATCATTGATCCATGGGTACCATTTCACTAACAATGTAGACACCTGTGCCAAGCACAATTGTTCAAATATAAAGTAGCTTTCATCACCTAGGAAACTAATTAATTGGTGACAAATGAGTACAATTTTGAAGAA